AATATGTTTGCAAAAAATGTTTTTGACTTTTACAACTGTAACTTAAAAGTACCCTGTTGGAAACCTTTAAGTTATTGTTATAAAAGAACACATATTCCATTAAGAAAATAAATCAAAAGTGTTGCTGATATAAATAGGTATAAATTTTTATTTTTAATGTAGGTTTTCAATTAAAAAATTTAAATTAGTTCAAAAAACTGTAACACACAGTTATCAGTTACAGTTAAGGAATTTTCAGAAATAATAAAATTTTTGTTTTAAAGAAATAATTTTATTTTTTGGCATAAATAGCTTACAAATAATATTGAATATTATTATTGTAATTTTTCATAAACCTTTGAACAAAACAAGCTTATTGGACTGTGCCGTAATCCAATCTTTCCTTTATGCAACTCATTTCTAGTGTACAGCTGACCATATGAGTGTAGACGCAATGTTAAATATTTTTCTATAATTTTTTTTAAAAGCTGTGAAGAATGCATGTCTTCAGTCAAAATCTCGTGTTCTAAATCATGCATATTTAGTTCAGTAAACAGTGCGTCATTTGCAAGTTTTTTATTTATAAAGTGCACCAGATAGGTTTTAAGATTTTTTTTCAGAAGATATTTTTAAATTATGGGGGTCTGCCCCACACACCAAAACTTTAAAAACGTGCTCACATTTTTCAACAATCTTTAAAACACTACAGGATGGAAAGATTAAACCACCTCGATTTTTAAAAGTTGTAAAACTTTTCCATGATGAACTGCAAAATATAGAATACTCATGATCAGTGGATAAAGTCTTCGGAGAAATTAAACTATTGGCACAAGTCAGACATGTAATTTTACTATAAAGTTTTCTTACAATGAACCCTGCAATATATCCAAGTATAGCTTCTTTATAAATTGAAGTAGAGACTGATGAAAGACAACCAGCAAGGTCTTTAAAATAGTTAGAATCCTCACTAGATATTATATTTTGCTCAACAAGAGGAGATCTCCTTTTACTCCACTTTAATAAAAAGATTGAGCCAGAAGATTTTTGGTCAAAAGTAAGGCAGTTGCTAAATTTTGATCCTATGATAGAGTTTCTTAATAAAATTCTTTTTAAAGCAGATTTTAACTGACGTACATCTGGATTGTTATTGAAACCATTTTTGCCTCGAATACAAGCAAATAATAATTCAACATGATCTTGTGACAGTTCGATCCTCTCGCTCTACGGCCAACTTGCTAACTGCTGTAACTGAAAGATTTTATCGTGCATTAGATGGAGGCGGTGAGGCTAGGGCTATTGCTATCGACATATCTAAAGCTATTGACAATGTTTGGCATGCTGGTCTTCTCCATAAGCTTGCTTCATATGGTGTTTCTGGGAAAGTTTTTGAGATTATCAAATCATTTCTTTCTAACCGGTTTATTAAAGTCATCCTTGAAGGCCAACACTCTTCTTTATTTCCAGTAACTTCTGGGGTTCCCCAACGTTCCATTCTAGGCCCTGTTTTGTTTCTTATCTACATAAACGATCTTCCTGACAACCTTTCATCTAAAGTAGCTCTTTTTGCTGATGACTCAACTTTATACTCCTGTCTTGACAAAAAGTCTTCTCTTTTCGATCGCCTAGAACAAGCAGCTGATCTTGAATCTGATCTCACTTCAGTAATAGATTGGGGTTCACAGTGGCTTGTGAATTTCAACTCTAAAAAAACCCAGTTGCTTACTGCAAACAACTACCGTAATATGGTCAACATTCCTATATTAATGAATGGCAATCCTCTTACTGAGTCCTCCTCCTTACGTCTTTTTGGATTATCGCTTACTACTGACCTTTCATGGAAACCATATATACAATCGATTGCTAAATTAGCTTCTGCTAAGGTTGCTTCTCTTTATCGTGCTCGCCATTTTCTTACTTCTGATTCCATTCTCTACCTCTACAAATCTCTTATTCGTCCCTGTATGGAATACTGTTGTCATATTTGGGCTGGTTCTTTTAACGATTCACTTCCTCTTCTTGACAAGGTCCAAAAACGCATTGTAAATGTTGTTGGACCTGGACTATCTGCTAAGCTTGAACCTCTTTCCCATCGTCGTAAAGTTGCATCTCTTTCTCTTTTCTACAAATACAATTATGGTCACTGCTTAAAGGAGTTATCATCTCTAGTTCCATCAACTAAAATTCATTCTCGTTTTACTCATCATTCAGCTAAGTCTCATTTGTTTACTGTTTCTGTCCCTGCATGCTCTAAAAACTTTTATTCATCTAGTTTTTTTCCCCGCACTTCAATCCTTTGGAACTCTCTCCCATCTTCATGTTTTCCTGACTCATACAACCTTCAACTTTTTAAGTCTTCTGTCAACCGTTTCCTTGCTCTATAACTCTGTTCTTTTTTTTTTCCTTGTAACTCCCAACTTAATAGTGGTTGCTTGCAGCCTTGTTGGGAGTGAATGCAAAAAAAAAAAAAAAAAAAAAATATGTTAAAATAAATTCAAAAGGATTCTCATGTCTAGATAAAAGGTTAAGGGATAAATCTCTTACACTTGTGGCTGCTACAATGAAACCAAGTACAAATGTCTTTCTTCTGTGTTTAATTAAAGAAGTTTTAGATAGGTCTGATAAGTTAACTAAGTAATTTACAGATTTTTCTATGGTTTCTATTCATTTTGGAGCTTCATTCAAAAACAAAGGTTTCTTAGATCCTTTTTCAAAAAGGTTTTTAGAGTTTAACAAGTCGAATAATTTATCTAACGTTCTAATAAAATTAATTGTGCCTTGGGCATCAATAAAAGTTGGATGACCTGAGACCATCAAAAACTCTATAGCATCAGCAACTGAACCACTTAGCGTTTGAGCTGCAATTTTAACATTCAATTTATGTCTGCGAAAGTCAATGTGGTAATTGCCAAGTTTATTTGCAAACTTAAATCCTTCTTCTTCTTGCAGTTTATGCAATGTTTTAATATGGTCCCACTTTATATATTGATTTTGTTCATCAACAAAGATACCGATACTACACAGAGCGTTTCGAGCTAATTTAAGCATATGACAAGGATCAGGGATATAATATATAGGATGATCATATTCAGGATGGGGAAAACTACCACACATCTCTTTAATTTTACTTCCGAATGAACACCCAAGATTCTTCATTGCACTAAAGTTGGAAATAAGTCCATCACATGTTATACTCCAAACATTCAGATTATGAGTAGCGCATAAATGTAAAGCATTTTTAATTAGACAACTTAAATCCGTTGAGGAAATTTTATCACACAATATATAGTCTATAGGACATTTCCAATGGCCTTTCAATCCAACAACCATAAAAATAAGTGCTTCTGTTGCTAATTTATCTGGGTCATAGGCTAGAATATTGTTTCCAAAACTAGAAAAACCTTAATATGATCCAGTAACATTATCATACCGCAGAGCAGCCCTGATATGCATAGAATCAAATATTAATGCGCAATCTTTGTATGATGAATCCTCAAATGTCTTATTTTGTAAAAACTTGAAAACATCTCCAAAAAACCCAGGCAAACAATCTACAGATGAGGTCCAGTTTCAAAGTGAGCTTACAGGAGGTAATGAGAATGTAGATTTAACAATTTCATATGCTCTTGGAGAATAAAAGTGCAGTGTTAAAGCAAATTTTTTAACTTCTTCAGAGTATCTATAACCTTTTTTTTTTTTCCTCTATTTTTTAATTCAGATTTCAAAAGTTCTTTAATCAGTTCAGAGAAGTTGTTCTCAAGTAATTCAGCAACATCAATGGAAATAATTTTTTTTTTCTCCAAGTTTTGAATAACTTTGCAAGTGAAGCAATTTTTTTATCTTTTCGTTTAAGCTTTTGTTTTAATATTTTAATCTTTTTTCTAAGTAATAGTTTTTTTGGAGAATTTTGTTTAAGTATTTTTTCCTTAATAGTATTTGTAATTTCAGGCTCTGTTACCTCTTTATTCGAGATAGAACAAATTGTTTTTTTAATGTGTGATGTATCATCATTATATAGCTGATTCCGCTTGTTATTTTTGTTCAATGATTCATGAAAGTCAAATATTGAAGGCACAATATTTTTTTTCAGCACACGTTTCCCATTCTCTTGACACTCAAAATCTTGTAATTTAAAATGTTTACTGCAGATTCTACTATGTTTACTAGGTGTAATTTGTAAACATTTAGTTGCTGTTGCCCATTTTTTACATAAAATTTCATCATTTAAAGGGAATCTGTGAAAAGAAATCAAAAATATAATCTTTTATGTTTTTTAAATACATACACACACACTCAAACACATTATCCCAGACTTTATCATATATAATATCATTTGTATATATATATATATATATATATATATATATATATATATATATATATATATATATATATATATATATATATATATATATATATATATATATATATGTATATATATATATATATATATATATATATGATATATATATATATATATATATATATATACATATATATATATATATTTATATATATATATATATATATATATATATATATATATATATATATCATATATATATATATATATATATATATATATATATATATATATATATATATATATATATATATATATATATATATATACTATATATATATATATATATATATATATATATATATATATATATATATATATATATATATATATATATATATATATATATGTATATATATATATATATGTATATATATATATATATATATATATATATATATATATATATATATATATATATATATATATATATATATATATATATGTATATATATATATATATATATGTATATATATATATATATATATATATATATATATATATATATATATATATATATATATATATATATATATATATATATATATATATATAAGGCCTCAACGGAAGAACAATTTTAATAAAATGATTTTTGGGGTGATTTTAATTCGTTGAACTACATGATGGTGTTTTAAATCTAAAAAAATTGATTTTCTCAAAACATCAAAAGTGTGACTCTGATCGTTCTTCCGTTGAGGCCTTCATATATATACACATATATGTTTCATTTTTTATTTAGGTATTTGCAGTATGCACTGACAACGAAAATAAAATGTCTAAAATGAGAAAACTTTTGCAGGCTGAAGCTTTTAAGTTGATAACATATGGTTGCTCTGCTCATTATTTAAATTTGGTTGAAAAGGATGTCTCTCCAAAGTCTATAGTAAAGCATATTATAGCAATTCATAAATATTTTCGTAATCATCACCAACCACATGTATGTATTAAATTCTTTACTTATTGATCATATTCTGTAATACAATACTATGAAATAACACAGCTGTGTTAATGATATAAGCCTAATGATAATGATGGCAAAAAAGATCCTAGCTTTATTTTAACAAAATTATTTTTTAATATTTCTTTGTTAAATTTTCTTAAATAAATTTATTATAGGGTTGGTTATTGGAAAAAGGTGGACTGATGCCACAGCTACCTAATGATACTCGCTGGAACTCCCAACTAGATTGTTTACAGACATACATATCTAATCATTCTCTGTACGTTGACATTAGAGATGAGCATATGGAATCCATTGATCCTTCGATAGGAAGCCTAATTGACAATCTATCAATACAGAGAGAAGCAATAAATTTATATGCACAACTGAAAATTGTTGGTGTTGCGTTAGATAAGGTTAATAAAATTAGTTATTAATTGGATTTATTAAATTTAATTATATTAAGTATATTAAAACCACTTATATTAGGAACAATGTCACCATTAACTTTATTTACCTAATTATTAGCAAAATTATTGTGTTTACTGTAGTTGCAAGTTGTATCGTCTGTAGTTGCAGACGATACAACTTTGTCTGAAGCAGTTGAGATTTGGCAAAGCCTCATACATAATGAAAAATTGGCTTTGTACAAAGATGATATTTTAAAGAGGTTCAAGAAGGCAATTGTTCCATGTCATTTTCTTGCCAATTTAACAGATCCAAAATATGAAGGTAACTAAACAATTGTAAAAAACTTAAAGTATTGCATCTGATTAATTTTTAATAAAAACAAATGTAAAGTTTTTATTTAAGTTTACTACTCTTATAACTTTACTTATTTACTTAGGAAGAACATTGGATAGAAGTCAAGAAGAAGAAGCTGAGGAATGGTTGAATGAAGTCTATCCTGAATTTATGCCAGGCTATTATGCGTTTAAACTAAAAGATGCTAATTGTTTCCCAACATATTTATTCAACGATAGTGTTAAAAGCACAACATCAGCAACAAATTGGTGGAGAATTATAGAAATGAAAGAATCTAAGTCTTCCAAATTGCCTGCAAATTTTGCAAAATTTTTACGGCAGTTGCACACTTGTCCAGCTAGTACTGGATCCATAGAAAGATTTTTCTCATCTTTTGGGATTATTTGGAGCAAAATTAGAAATCGTTTAGGAAGAGAAAAAGCTGAAATGCTTGTACGAATTTACAGACATTTAAGATCAAAATGCACAATTGCTGATGACTTTTAGATTACTTTGTTTTAAATGATTAAGCTTGAATATTATTCTCCAAGTAAAATAAAATTCTTGTTTATGACTTACTAAACTTCATTTTTTGTTGTTAGTTGAGCAGCATCAAATCTTGTGTGTTAATGGAAATTGATTTATGTACAAAAAAATTAAAAATTAAAAATTTAAGACCAAAAACCCATAAAGTTGGGTTTTTGGTGGGTTTTTGGTCTTGGGTTTTTGGGTGGGTTTTTGGGTGGGTTTTTGGGTTTGGGTTTTTGGGTACCAACCCTGATATATAATGCATCTATTGGTTTCGAAACCGTTTGCATTCACACGGTTGACATAGATATTGCTATTTACGCTTTGTATTTTCAAAACCAACTTCAAATAGAATTATTTTTTATATTGGCGTCTCTACTGAAAGACGGACTCTTGATATAAATCGTACTACCTCACAGTTAGGTACTGATTGTTTTAAAGCTCTTCTTGCTCTTCATGCATTTAGAAGGAACAATTATACAAGCGCATTTTACGGGATTGGTAAGTCAAAGTTCCTCAAACTAATGAGACAGTCTGAAGAGTACAAGTCAATTTTTTCAAGGTACTCTTATACCTCTGATGTAACCCATTTTGACCAAATCGAAAAGTTTATATGTCAGTTATAAAAATTATAATGCAGTGATACGAACGAAGGAAGATACCTTAAGTTTATTGCCAAAAAAGAAGCTACGGAACCTTAAAAGTTTCTGCCAACTAGGGATGCTCTTATGTGTCATTGCAAGAGAGTTTCGTATCAAACAGCAATTGTCAAACAATCAGTGGAGGCAAATCTCAATATTCCAAAACCCAATGGATATGGATGGCGAGAAATTGGCAATCAACTTGAGGCTAAATTGATGCTCATTAGACCAACTCCAGAAGATGTTTTGCAATTAATTCCTTTCGTGTAAAAAGTCAAAATGTGAAACCCGGGTTGATTGCATGGATTGACTTGTACGCAACTGTTCGTCTTGTGAAAACACAAATGATTGGGACGACACCTAAACAAAATATTTTTCAAATGATTCGAATTTTCAATCTTAAAAATCACTAATTATTTTTTTTCGCGAAATTTGAAAAAATTATCAGCGTGACGTCATCAGTACCAAACAAGGGCCCGAATTAGACCCTTGAAGGACTATTAGAATTGCTCTTAAGTTTTTCTAAAGATTTTATTATTTATTATAGGGTTTTCTCAAGAGATTATCTAACGTTTGACGTAAATATATATTTTTTAGTTTGATAAAAAAAAGTAGACCAGCGTGACGTCATCAGTACCAAATAATGCCCCAAATTTGACTCTTTAAGCACTTTCACAAAGACACGTAAGTTTTTTTCAATATTTTGTTATTTATTTTAAGGTTTTCTCAAGAGTTTATCTAACTTTTGACGAAAATATGTTTTATTTAGTTTGTTTTTGTGAAAAAATGTCAAAATGACGTCATCAGTACCAATTAAGGGCCTAAATGTGACCCTTTAAGCACTTTCAGAAAAGCACGTAAAGTTTTTCTTATTCAAGATATCAATGTTAAACTATTTAACTAGTTTTTGTAATGTCCACTTCGTTTCCAAGAAAAAGTTACACTTAGCGTCCAGAATATAACACTTTAGAAATTAGAAAAATTTCTTTAGCTTCTGCAAAAATGATTGCATAAAATTCAGAATGAAATTCATAAAACCTAATATGCTAGCATTTTAAAATGTTATCCATACAGTTATCATATGTATACAAATTTTTGAAATCTGACTTAGGCAAGTTGAAAGCAGCGCATCTTATGATATGCCCCTTTGTAAAATAAAATATATATAAATAAAAAATTTATTTTTATTTAAATATATTTTATTTCTATTTCTAATATTATTAAAAAGTTTGAAATTTAAAATTTTGAAAATAAACTGAAGCATATAAAGGTGAGTTTCCAACACATCCGTTTTTCTACGGGAAAGGGAAAAATAATCACGTGAGCATGCGCAGTTTTCTTTAGGACAAATAAAATCTTTTATTACGCATGCTCACGTATTTATTTTTTGCCTTCCCCGTAGAAAAACGGGTAGTGGAATCTTGCCTTAATGCCTTTACAATTTAAATACGTAATAATTTTTTTTTTTATTGTTAAAAAGATTGAGAACTTAAGAAAAATACGAACATTTAGAAGAATTATTTATTTTTTTAAAACAGAATTAAAACAAACAAAAACAACAATAAACATATCATAAAATGTTGTTTTAAATAGTCACACAAAAAAAAAAATTCGCACTTTTTTATTTTTTAAGCATCTAGCCGATTACCGAGTAAAGACTGGGCCTTTAGTAACTTTTTGGTTAAGCCTAATTTTGTTTTCAATAGAGCCCGCCGCTTAGTTGACACAGTAAAGAAATAATAAATATGTTGAATTATTATTTAAAAAATGCACAGCTTCTGTGAAGCAATCAATAACGTATTAACCAATTAAATTTAAAGAATAGCACAGAAAATAAAAATAGCACTTTAATTTATTTCCAAAATTTTGGACTCCTGATGATACTTGGTACCACTTAATCTTTTCCTATCGTCACTCGTTTCAATAGCTGAATAAAGCCTTTTAATTAAATAAGATTATGGTAGAATAAGGTAATATGAGCACCTTGGTAATATGAACATACTTTAAAATTTCTTAGATGTAAGCAGTGAAGTTGAAGTTGCTTGGATTTTTTTGAATCGACATAAAGTCGATTTTTTTGTACTTTACTTCTATGTTATTGTTGCGAAAATCATAATAGTACAGTACAAAAACTGGTTCAAAACTTGATCTTTTAAAGTTTTATTAATAACAAATTATTATATTCCAAAAATTAATTCTAATTGTCAGATTAGTATTTTTTTACTTAATTAATGTAATTTTTTTAAGCTAATTTAAAGTGCTCATATCACCAAGTGGTCTTAATAACATGAGCACTTTTGCTACTTTTTTAAAGTAGAAAAGAAAATTTAGGGGCTTGTTAGGAAATTTGAGAAGGTTTTTTTTTGTAATACCTTGTGGAAAATATATAAAAAAATTTGGGCTTTATTGACAAGTTGTTGTTTGTTTTGTTTTTTGTTTTTTTTTGGGGGAGGGCTCAGATTAACAAAGAACACCACTGCTAACAAATATACTTAAACATATAGAATAGTATTACTTTTACCCATAGGTGTTGAGTATGGGATGTAATGGGGGCAGACTGTCCCCCTTAAGTTAACCTTGCCACCCTTGAAAATTCGTTAGCCCCTCCTTTTATCTAATCTTATAATAAATATTATTTCAATTTTTTATTTTTAAACAGAGGAAAAAATTAGAGAAAGAAAACAATTAAAAAGCGAAAAAAGAAATCATCCTTTGCTATAAACATGCCCAAAAAAATTGTTTTTAAGATAAAAACTTGAAAAAGTAGTTTAAATTTTTCATAAAATCAAAAAATACGTTTTTTCGATAAAATAAAACTTTAGATTGTCTTTTGATCTCAATTTAAGATTTGTTTCACGCTGTATACTAGTGCTTTAAAGTAATTTTTACGATATAGAAAGAATCATGTCAAAATATCGTTCAAAAGTTCATAGCTTTTACCAGAGGCTCACTAATAAGGTCTGCTTGGTTTTCAAGCCTAAAAGACCAAAATAAAAGCAAAAATCGACACCAAATTGGAACATCATTTAAACTTCTTTGACCAACCAGTAAAACCAAGACCAAATGCGTAAGTTATCTCTAATATCTATTAATAATAACTGCAGATGATTTTTCAGAAGTTTTCTACAGAAAACTTCACGTTTGACTGGAAGACCTTACCACTAACCCTGACTTTACCAAATGCCAAGTGGAAGCAATGACCTATTTGTCTTCTTTTCAGGTTCCAGATTGTAAAAATGACTCAAATAAATCGGAATTTATTTGAATCATTTTTACAATCCTAGAAGGTTCAAGCATTCAACTTCAGGGAAGTTAACTTAAATTTAGAAAGGCTGAATCCATCATTTAGACCCTGAAACAAATTTTGAAATTTTTGCTTACTCACGTTTCAAAACACTTTTTGATGCATCAATTAAATCTGCTAAAATGATGGGTTTATACCTGCAAGATTTAAAGTTGTCTTCAATGATACTTATTATCAGCCAAAGGATCCAAATAAGATCTATAAGCCTTTACACTTTACCGGTTGCAGTTTTAGTTGGCCTCACCGATAGATTTGAATCAACTGAAACCACTCGCCATTTAACAAGGATTGAAGAGTTTTTGATTGGATCAAATAACACTGAAATTAACAACATAAAAAACTTCTAAAAGAATAATTTTCCTAATTATCAAAGACTGCAACTTTACCGAAACCATTTTATTGACGAACCTAACAGAAAAAAAGTTCAATTGGAAGATTTTCAATCAGTTCTAGATTTCATCCGCGCTAAAGAACAAATTGAATTGAAAAGAATTGCCTCGGAAATTGTCCTTTTTATTAAAATAATTCTTGTCTAGCCAGTATCAACTTGTACAGCAGAATAATTATTTAGTAGTCTCCGTAGACTAAAAACGTTCTTTAATTGACCATGAGCCAGGAAAGACTGTAATGAATACCTATAAAGAATTTGTAATGAATACCCATAAAGAAATTATCCGAAGTCTTGAAATGGATTTTATGGTTAGATAAGTTTATTTTAAAAAAACGATTCGCGCTGTAGAATGTTTTATTTGGAAACGAAGTAAAAATTCGAACTAAAGTTTTTCTTTAACTTCTTGATGCTAGTTAACCAAAATCAAAGTTATTATTTTTTATTTCTAAATCAAAATAAATAAATAAATAAATAAACACTGGACAGTAGACATTTTGTTCACTTAACAAAGAAAAATGAAAAATTGTAATTTTATTTAAAAGATGCGGAACGCTTAGATTAGTTTGCACTTTGTACAGTGCAAAAACATTGGTGTCAGTACAAAGTTTGCGCTTTCTACAGACACCAATGTTGTACACGATTGCACAGTGGTGTCGTTGGGTTTTAAACCCAGC